TCTGTTCTATTACCTACTGCCAGAATATTAAAAGTCCTTCTGAAAACGGGCAAGAAACGCGAAGTTGACGCCACAAAAAAACAGAGAAAAATGTGACGGAATGCAAAAAACGTTGGATTACAGTCATCAACCGCAGCAATCGGGCAACCAACCATACCAGGACATTAGGCATTTCTACAAAACCATACCCTGAAAAACACTAGCAAAAACATAAAAAACTAAAGTAAACTGCGCTCGATCGTTAAATCAAAAAGAGGCGTTGCGAGTGCCTGTAACATCATTAGTTGCAGCTCATGCACACTCGGCTGGAGGCTACTCCCACTGCCTGTCCATGGCACACTCTCGCGTTCGCCGTTATTTCGGCGAGGTGTCAAAATTAAATTTGCATCAGTTATTTTTCGGGAGCATCCAAATGGTGCCTAAAACTGAAATTACATCTTCTGCGTGTGGGTTTGTGGCTTGAAATGGACCGCCAAGAAGTTGCTTTCTGCAACAGCTAGAAGTAAACCACTCTCATTTGAATTTCGCGTCCAGTTTCATTTTTGTGCGGGCTTTTCATGTTTAGTCTACAATTCTCCTATGACTGCAGGCTTTTTTGGAGTCCATTGTGTATGTACAAATTTTAAAAATTGAATAGCCGGATATTACGGGGAAAGGAAATCGACAGATTTTGAATATTTTACTTACGACACAAATTACTTGTTTTGATCACATTTGTACTGTCCACAAAAACTAGCTTCTCATCTCATCATTGACAAATTGGAGAAAAAATATAGGAGTTCAGTAACTCTTTGTATTAAGATTTATACGATATACGATTGTTATACACATAGATAATTGTACGAATTAAATGAACGAATAACTAGAAAACGGTAATTTAACGATATAGTACGAATGAATTTCGCGCCATATTTCACAAGTCTACTTGCCTGTACACATACATATGTATGTATAGTATGTACGTCGCCACATTTCTCTCTAACTACGAATATATGTATCATACACTTGCATTCCCTAACGTATACAGCCCTACGTGGTGGCGGGATGGGCACTTAAATAATTTAGATTTTTGTGTCTAACATGCACAAGTACCACCCAGTGGCCCAAAAGACTCAAGTGCAGACGGCACAGTGAGTGACCTAGTTACAGATTCGAGGGGCGAATGTCAGTGTGAGAGGTACGAGCGTACCTGTCCACTAGGCCAGATCGGTAAGCAAGTCGCGCTCTTCGCCTGACAGCTGCTACGACTGCCATTATGCGCTCATTAAAATGTCAAATAAATTCAAATGCGAGAAACATGATTTTTCGCTTTATGCCGTAAAGTGTGAATGCACGGACTATACGTGAGGTATGAATTGCACTTTCTCAAAGAGTAGGACGGTTTAGATGGTATGTCGGCAACCAGCAAGTGATTTATAATTTATGAGTGTTTGTCGGAGTTAACGTTGAACTTTGTTTAACTGAGCACGTTTTGAGGGAATAGAGAAAACAGATCATGATGTTTAAATGAATAATATGAAGGCATAGCATAAAGGTAGTTTTAGAAGTATGCATTTCAGTTTCTTGCCTGAGTTTTGGAACAAATTGGCTGTCAGGCCCGGCTATATCATATGTCATGATACCGGTTGTGGTCACCCCGTTTTTGTGGTATTTAATGGGTTTTTGGTTTAGAAACTGTATCATATCGTAGTTGGTTTTAACGTAACGTATTTATCACAGTTTTTATGCATTTTACATGTTTTTAGGCAAGTCAACACTGAAAAAACCCTTAAATTATAAAAAAACAAATGGATTTTAATGCGCTACTTCACATGCAAGCATTTTGCTTCTGATTGCGATGAGTAATGTGATAACGTCTCATCTTTTTTTTATGCCAGTGAAGGCACTTAAAATAAATCATATTTTATTTCTCGTTATTTCTGGTGATTTCCTTTCACAACAGGACTCGTATTTTTTTATACAATTTTCTGTATGAAGGAATCAATTTAGTTCCTGTACTCACCAGTTACCTAAGCCTCAAGCTTTTTATACCCATACTCAAAAAAGAGTTTAGGGGTATATTAGATTTGTGGTAAAAGTGGATGTGTGTAACGCAGAGAAGGAAACGTTTCCGACCCCATAAAGTATATATATTCTTTATCAGCATCAATAGCCGAGTCGATATAGCCATGTCTGTCTGTCTGTCTGTCTGTCTGTCTGTCTGTCTGTCTGTCCGTCTTGTTGAGCGCTTAGATCTCAGAGACTATAAGAGCTAGGGCAACCAAATTTGGTTTCCAGACTCATGTGATATCACACTGCTACAAGTGTATTTCAAAATTTCGCCCCGCCCTCTTCTGCCCCCACAAAGGACGTGGCAGGCACATTTTTAAAGATACGATAAACTGAAAGCGCAGTATCGTAGAGAATGACCATATCTACCAGATTGCCGAATCTGAATCAGATCGGATCATAATTATAGCCAGAATGAAGAAATTTATTTTCAGTTGCTTCCCCCGTCTCCCCCTGCCAGATACACTCTACTCATTTTCTTTCTCGCTCGCACACTCTGCCGCGTTCAGTGCGCGAGCAACCCCTAGCGGAGGAGATGTAGAATCTAAATGGTACATGTACAATCTACATGTTAGATGTAGAATATACATTGTAGATGTAGATGTGATAACAGATGTAGCAAAAAAATGTAAATGTAAAATGTAAATTTTTTTTTTAATTCTAAAAAATCATAAGGTTAAAAAATGTAAATACTGACTGAGTACGGGTATAAGTAGAGTCGCGTCCCCAGAAGCGACTTACACGTTCCTTCTCGTTTTAATGTCTATTTACCCAAAAATTTTTATTTTCTTTCCGTGGTAGCAACCCCCAAACATTAAACTAAAAATTTGAAAAAAAAAAATTGTATAATTTTATTTAACAACAAAGAATAGAATTGGGGGGTGTCCCTTTGAAAAAACAAAAAGTTAATTTTTTGGTCAAATTTTGGCCCAGCCTAGTATACATTCAATATGCATACATACAGTTGTGTTCAATGAAATAGTAGTGCCGCACCTCATCACTTTCAAAACTCTTTTTGAGACACTTCCAGTTATCCAAATTGAACAAATGATACCTTTTTAAATAGACTGGACTGTTAGCATTAGAAAACCGAAGAAATATCAATACATTTGAATTATATTTTCTTGTTTTACATGACATAAGCCGAATACAATGAAATAGCAGTGTTTTTTTAGAACATTGAAAAAAACAACGAATCTCAAATAAAAACATATATTTCATGTTTTTCATGTTTCTTGAGCTTTAATATTTAGTTTTTTATCAATTTGGTTTTCATTGCGAACTTTCACCGGCCGGATATGAGTCATTAATCTCTTGCCAACGCTTCAATAGGATTTGAGCCAATAATCCATGAACCACTTGCTAAAACTAGGCTCTGGTTCACGGATTTGCAGTTGCAATAATGTATTTGGTATTCCAGCATAAGATTTCGATGAGATAATTATCCAGTTGGACAGTTGACCATGGCAAAACGTCGATCTTTTCCGACAAAAATCAATTCCTAGCGAGCTTTTCTGGGTATTTTAAGTCATTATCCTGTTAAAAGATCTTTCCGACCCCATAAAGTATATATATTCTTGATCAGCATCAATAGCCGAGTCGATATAGCCATGTCTGTCTGTCCGTCCGTCCGTCCGTCTTGTTGAGCGCCTAGATCTCAGAGACTATAAGAGCTAGGGCAACCAAATTTGGTTTCCAGGCTCATGTGATATCACACTGCTACAAATGTATTTCAAAATTTCGCCCCGCCCCCTTCCGCTCGACAAAGAACGAAAATCTGTGGCAGGCACATTTTTAAAGATACGATAAAACTAAAAACGCAGTATCGTAGAGAATGCCCATATCTACCAGATTGCCGAATCTGAATTAGATCGGATCATAATTATAGACAGATTTTCTGTTGCTTCGTCTGCCTGAGAACTCTTCAGGGCTTAAAAAAAAGGATATTTAAGCTTAGTAGACTATTTTTGACCATTTTTTGAGTGATCAGCAACTTTTTCACACACGTAAACTTAAATAATAATGTATAGTAAACTTCTGTAGACCATCAAAAGTTCTTTGTCGATCTAAATAAAAAGTTGAGCATTTGATATATGAAATTATGCAGTAGCAACAAAGTTATTCTTTGAAAATTTATTGTTAAGCATCTGTTCCTCGTAGCACCATGTTCTCGCTCTCACATTTAATTTTTGAATATTTCTTTCAAACACAGTTTATTTAATGACAATATCTTCACTCGTTTAAAAGCAATTAATTAAGCAAGCTGAAATGGCCCACTGTGCGCCGATCGACTGTCCATAAAATATCCGGGTACACAATCAGATACACCACATACCACGAAACTTTGTTTATTGAACTCGTCATCGCAAGGGTAGGTGTGGAAATCATTCAATTGCTGTACTAGTGTGTGATTACATATACGCGGAGTTATTAGGCCCATTTCCTCAATTTTGTTCCTTTTCTGTAAACTGTTTCTTCCTTTTGGGGTGTGTTTTGGGCATTGTCCGTTTCATCATGCGTTTTTGAAATATGTTCAAGTGCTCACACGCACCGTGCTCACTTACATAAATATAATAACGCACCAGCATAGCACTGTACATTTTTCAATGGCTTTGAGTGGTATTTAATTTATTCCGTCTCAAAGCTGGTCGGCCTCTTACGCCCACTTGTCCTTAACCAACCCCTATTATCGTTAGCTCTATCATCGGTCAACAGGAGGATAAGCTGGGAATGAATTTTTTGCATGGTATATAAATATGTGATGTTTTTATCTATTTCACTAGATATCTGTTTTTTTTGGTAGCCGTAGCCTGATCAAGAGGTGCAAGTAAATACGGTATCATCTTCTTTGAGAAAGTTTAATGACCTGCTGACTCCAAAGCAATTTGAAATAATATAATTTTACACTTTTAAACGAATATTGATGCTAATGTCTTTACACCTATTTTCAGATAAACCCAGAAACACAAGCGTCAACGACTCGTTTCCACCGATTTCTTCGCCAGAAGCTTCTATTGAAAGCCATTATGTCTACATTGCCTCTCTTGTTCGTAACAGTAACGACTTGCCTCATTTCAACAATGCCGTGGACGAGGAGCAGGAGCCAGATGAGCAACGAACAGATGAAGCAATATATCTGACACCCATTTTTGACTTTGGTATGCCCAGGAATATAACAACTCGAACAGGACATACGGCGGCCATCAATTGCCGAGTGGACCATCTGGGAGATAAATCGGTGAGTGATTTCAGTGATTGCTTTGCCAGCTTATCGAGGAATAGCGTTTCTGCTGCGGATTTTCCTTTCAATGCATTTTTAAGGTAAATATTTGGATCGCTAGTCAAGCTGAAAATCAAGTTAGCGTAAACTTTTTCCAGTTTGCAGTTTGTAAAACTTCTCTTTCGCTTTCACCTACATCTTTTGGATCCTTTTAACCTTGCTTTTCCGGTTAAATGACAGAGTTTCAGGCTACATCAACATCTCCTCTTATACACCTATTTCCACTGCTATCTTTTTCTCTATGAGTTTTCTTTGTGTTCATTTTGTGTGGTTTTCCCTTTCTGTTTTTCTTTTTCCGTTCCCACTCAGTTGCTCATAGATTGTAAGGGTATGGTAAAGGTAGATTGTATTTCCCACAACATAAGATAATGATGTTAATAAGTTTTTATTATTATTATTCATAATAACACTACCCGGCACGATTTTTCAAATGCAACATTTATGATTTTTTAAATTTTTTTTTTACTTTTTAAATTTCTGACGTTGAAAAAAAAATCTTATCAAAGCTCGAAACCTATCAGAAAAAGTCGGTTGAGAAAAACATCAGCACAATACACTACTCGACAAAATTTAACTTTTTTTCGCTTCGAACCAAACCGACTTTTTCTGATATATTGGGAGCTTTTAATAATTTTAAAGAATTATGGATTTGCAGAATTTTTTGTTGAAGAATTTTTTAAAATTGGTATTTTTATGCTTTTTCAGAGGTAGCGCTTCTTTTTTCACAAAACTTAAGTACTATACATGAACTTCAGCATTCTAAAATCTGATAGATGCATCTTTAAAGTAGAGCTAAACACATTATAGCCTTCAGCTTACCGTCTGGGAAATATTAAGCTTTTAAATGCAAAATTTAGGATTTTTGTGCGGAATTTTTTTCCAAAATTTGTATTTTAAAAACTCAGGAAATGTCGAAAAAATTGTATATTCTGTGTCCTTATATTTTTTGTGTATAGGTGCATTTATTAGGCGTAAACATTATGTTTTTTGTTGTTATAGGTTAACTCCTTAAGAGTTAAACAGTCTTATTTAGAAAATAAACCAAAAACCATTAAACCATACAAACTCTTACACAATAGGTTATTTCCCACTTGCAATACATTGCACAAGAATACCGATACAATGTACTCAAAATGTAAAAACCATTTCCTGCCTAAAATATGTGCCGAGATTTTTAGTTCTCAAGAACTACCATCGCGCCTCCCCGTCTTCGACGTTGCGACAGCGATAATTCTGACAATGCGTCTTCGCTAACTTCGCTGTTCTTTACCCCCACCATGGGGAATCGAAATTGATTTCCCGCTTCTGGCTGCTGGTCGTTCCTCTGCCGCTGCCGAATTTATTCCACCAACTACAGGTTGCTTTAAGATTTTATATTCTAGAAATAATTAGCCGGCATCTTTTACTCAATAAAGGCACTACGCCGATTAAACGAAAAATAAAGAAAAAAGTTTTCCTTCCAATAAGGATAATTTTAACTTTTATGAGCTTCATATTCTGAGTAAGCTGAAGTTAACATTTTATAACTGCATTTATCAGCTTTTTAAAATGTCAAAATTCATTACAACCAAATGTAAGATACTTAAGTTAGTTGATAATTACTTTTAAAAAAATATCAGTTTTTAAAATATCTTGAAAAAAAGTTCTGACTTAGAAAACAGCCGTTGCTTCAGCCGTTCTCTTCATATCGCGCCTTTCTTTCCTTCCTTTGCTTTCCATCGCTCTCTCTATCTCACGATCCATCGCTCGTATTAGTGCACGCCTTGAACTCAGTCTGGACCTAGCACTCACTTCTCGCATATAGTTATATTATATTATTATATATATTAACTGAAAATTCATCGTCTCTTTAATATTCTCGAAAAAATAATGTTTCTACTCAGTAGCTCAACACAAACACCTGGATTATTGTCTTTTGTCATGATATCACGAATTATAACTATATGCAGAAAAAAGGAAATGCGTGCCTTTTTTGTCTCATGGCCTAAGGATTTTTGGTTTAGCATAACTTGCTATTCAGACAGGCTCCGGTTTTCACTTTAGCAAAGAATTTCCTATTTACTTTTGAAAACGGAAAGTTAGGCGCACCCCTATTCGTAAATCGCAAAATATTTCCGTTTTCAAAACGGCAACAAATTCCTCTCAGAAATGAAAAGTAAACGGCTTTTAATACAACAAAACGAGTCTTAATTGCAAATGGAAAATATAAATGACTGATTGATACATTGAAATGGATTTGACTCCATTACCAGTGCAATTGAACTTGTGCCTTTATTATAAATCATTTTTATTTGAACCAACCTCAAAATTGGATCTGAAAAAATTGGTCAACGCAACAACAAATAGTGAATTCCTCCGAACAGCTGTGGCAGCCCGATTTGGATATCGGTAAATCTCTGTTAAACATAACAGAGGCCTTTTTGTATGAGCTGGCACTTACGCGTGGGTACAACAGGAATAAATTTGGCGCTTAACAGTACAGAAGGAAATAAACCTCACTTTTGCGAATGTCAGAGCGCCTTGAAATGAAATGTATGACTTTTAGCTGAAAACGTAAAATGCAAAAGTAAGTGAAAGCCGGAGCCTGCCTGACTATTTCCAGTCAACATGGCATGTCAACCCCAATCCACGGCCCACGGCCATAACCATTCGTTTAAAAATATCAAATTTATCTGATAGCACAAATGTACCTTAACTAACTATGTACCTTACTAACATTTTTATACTCGTACTCGAAGAGTCAAGGGGTATATTAGATTTGTGGTAAAAGTGGATGTGCGTAACGCACAAAAGGAAACAAAAACCGACCCCATAAAGTATGTTCTTGATCAGCATCAATAGCCGAGTCGATATAGCCATGTCTGTCTGTTCGTCCGTCTGTCTGTCCGTCTTGTCAGAGTTTATAAAAGCTAGAGCAACCAAATTTTGTTACCAGACTCATGTGATATCACACTGCTACCAGTGTATTTTGCCCAGCCCCCTTCCGCCTACTCAAAGGATGAAAATCTGTGGCACCCACAATTTTGAAGATACAAGATACGCAGTGTCGTGGATAATGACCATATCTATCAGATTTTGAATCTTGGTTAGATCGGATCATTATTATAGCCAGAATGAAGAAATTAATTACACTAGTCGACACGACATTTCCGCTGTGGCCCAAAATGACTTTTTCTGATCGAATTTGGGATTTCACATTTTTTAACGAATAATTTTTTTGTATGGTTTAGTTATTTTTTAAATAATTTTTTAAAATCTAGTATTTTTTCATGTTTTTTTCAGAGCTAGTGCTTCTATTTTTTACATAATTTAAGTATCTTATATCTTGTTGCCTAAAAGTTTGCAGTTCTGAAAAGCTGACAAATGCAGCTATAAATCCGACCCAGACACTCTCATATTCAAATTTCATAATTTTTCTGCGGTATTTTTTCCGAAATTTTGACTTTAAAAATTCAGAAAAAGTCGAACAAAAAATATTTCTTGGCATGCATTTTTCTACATCGACGCATTAATTAGGCCTCGTTTAAGGTATTAATGAAGCTTTGACCAGGTTGTTTAGGGTAAACCCATTTTATGGATCTTCCGATTCAGTTATTTTTTATGAAAAAAGAAACATTCAGAGCCGTGAATCTCTGGTTTTTTCCACAGCATTGGAGTAAAAGTAAGTGTCCACAAAATTTACAGCCCAAATGGATATAAACAGGTAGGGTATATATCCGAGGGTATATATCCGAGACTCGGTAAAACCAAAACTACAGGTCCTTTCTGTTTCCTGCAATCCTATTTGGGCAGTTAGACCAGAAACCGTCCGGTAGGACGGTATTTTTTGAGGTAAAATGGGTTTTAAGTCGTTTTGGTCAAACGGCTGCAACTTCGCTATTTATCCATCGATTCTTTCAAACGATACCTTAAACGACGCCTATTGCGTCTATCTAAATTTATTTTTAGTTGCATGCCAAGAAATATATTTTTTTTTACTTTTCCTGAGTTTTTAAAGTCAAAATTTTGGAAATAATACCGCAAAACAATTATCAAATTTGAATTTGAAAGCTTAGTATTCTCCAGACGTTAAGCTGTAGCTACAAAGTGCCTGGGTCGGATTCATAGCATTTGGCATTTGTCAGCTTTTCAGAACTGCGAAGTTCTATGCAACCAGATATAATATACTTAAGTTATGTAAAAAATGCACTAGATGCACTACCTCTGAAAAAAAAACATGAAAAAAATATCAAATTTAAAAAATAATAAGTACATAATACTATAAAAAGTTTTAAATCCCGAAGTCTATCAGAAAAAGTAATTTTGGTCCACATCGGGAAGAAAAAGTTCAGTTTTGTCGAGTAATGTTATTAGTTGCTAGCCCCATTACCTCCAGCGATGCAGCTCCACTTATTCTCTTTCTCGCTCGCACACTCTGCCGGGACCTCTGACGTAGGAGATGTATTGTAGATGTAGATTTGATGAGCTATCTAAAAATTCCAGATAAATCATAAGCTAACATACAATATGTACATATATACTGAATGAGTACGGGTATGAAAGTAGAATCGCGGGAACAGAAGCGACTCACAACGTTCCTCTTCGTTTAATCACGATTTTATATTTCCCACAGACTATTGGTCTTTGAGGTCGTCATTCTTGTTTACATGGCATCTATAGGATTTTGACTGACTGAGGAACTATGTATGTAGTAGTTTATTGTGCGCACATTTCTTGATAAGCATCAGCTTACAATGCATAGGTATACTAACACTGTATTGTATATCGCTTTAATACCTAGGCGTATTTGTTTGTTTTCATCATTGGTTTCTTGTGATGACCAGTGGTAGAAAACCTTTTTAGAGATCCCGTGTCCATTCACATTACCGTCCGCCATCATAATTATTTATCTCCACTGGTAGAAACATTCTCTGATCTTGATTTACTATTGCGAACCTTTGATAAACCTCAAACGTCTTAGGTCTTAGGAGTTGTCTTCTTGTGCCACGTCGACACTTTTAGTTTCGCCTTTTAAAACGTTTTACTCGTCTCCCCTTCATTTTTTGTGTATTTTGGGGCAGCGAAAAGTTTTGGTAGCCTGAGGCAGTCTGCGAGATTACTTTTTGCCTGCTGCAGCGGCAGCGGCAGTTTCAGTAGAAGCCAATGCTTTTATTCGTTTGCTTTTTTTGGGAGGCTTTTGGCAACATTAAGCTGCTGACATTTTGGGCACGCACTTGTCTACACTTTTCTTCCTTTATCCGCCGTTGGCCTGGCTTTTGTCCTGGCTCGGACAAGGGCTTGTCTGCATTTTCCGTCGTCAACCGCGTGTCTGCTCGGCTCCTCCAGCTACCTTTAAGCAACAACGGACTCTGTGCGGTACAGTGAAATTCGTTTTAAGTGGAGTTCGCGATTGGGATAGGGTGTGAATCGGTTCAAAAAATAGACAAAATTAAATGAATGCGTTCGCTTCAAATTAATTTCTTTGCTAACCCATTTTCCAATTAAATTGTTAAAGTGGTATAAATTTGAGCAAGTATAGTGAAACGGATTTCATATATTTAAGTTCAAGTAATAAATCAACAGGAAAACCATATATGTAAATATTTTTTAAATTTAAACTTCGTTTTTTGGGGCTTAAGCTTGGGAGGTCAGACAGTTTTTGCGATGAGTATTGGCTGTTTTGAGAGTTGGCTGCTTGTTTATTTTTCCGTTTTTTTATTACATTTTCGTTTCTTTACTTTCGGATTCAAGTTCTCTCTGGAGTTTAAAAATTGAATTAAGCACTGGCTCTAACAGAATTGGTGTCCCTTTTTCATTGTCCTTCAGGTATCCTGGATAAGGAAACGCGATTTGCACATCCTGACTGCGGGCGTTTTGACCTACACCTCTGATGAGCGTTTCAAGGTGAGTATCCTTTAGATAGCCTCCCCCGCCTGTCTCCCTCCCCTGGCTTATTAAATGCCCGCCAGCCCGACCTGGGATCGTTTGTAAGTCAGCTTAATTGCTTATGCAATTCGGGCCAGGCACGCCCAAGGACGGTTCGTCCCCGTCTACGAATTATCGTGCATTCTATGTTTCTGTCTTATTTACCCTCACCTTCTCCCCTTCTGCTCCTTTCTATGCTGTGCAGGTTGTACGCACCGCCGACTCCAAGGATTGGACATTGCATGTGAAATACGCTCAGCCACGTGACAGCGGTATCTACGAGTGCCAAGTGAATACGGAGCCAAAGATTTCGATGGCATTCCGCCTGAATGTCATAGGTGAGTAAGCCAACCTTCCTACATACTCCTTCGCTCTACTTTCCCTTCTTTTTCCTCACAATCCTCCCCACCCCTTTCTCCCTGAGTTTCTACGCATTGTTAGCAAGTTTTTGGCGAACTTATGATACATAGTACACGTACACGGACACATTGTATTTCTATATGGGGAAGAGCATAGTAAATTGGTCGTAAAGTTTGTCAGTTAGCGGTGGATGGATGCAGCTGCCGGCTTTGTGGCAATGTGTACGTATTAAAGATTATTACGAATGCTTTCATCAGTCAGATTTGAATCGCCCCGAATCACTAAAAACTGAGTGCCAGTAACACGCAGTATTACAATCAAAATTAAAAGTTTCGTTCATATGTCTCTGAAATTACTTAAAACATACCAGGGAATTCGTGTACTATGCACATTTAGTTTTGTTTTTGAGCTGAAAAAAAAATGTTTAAAAAATTGGTCAGTTAAAAAACAAAATGTGAATTCATCTTAACAGCTGTGGCAGCCCGATTTGGCTATCGATAAATCTCTGCTAAACATAACAGAGGGCTTTCTGTATGAGCTGACACTTACGCAGTGAATTTATCGCTTAACAGTACAGGACGAAATAAACCTAAGCCTGCGAATGTCAGAGCGCCTTGAAATGAAAAGTATGACTTTTGGCTGAAACGTAAAACGCAAAGTGAATGTGAAAACTGGAGCTTGCCAGAAATTCAAGTGGAAAGTGAGCTAAAAAAACGAGAAGGACGCGACTCTACTTTTATATCCGTACTCTGTCAGTATATAAATTTGTGAGATTATGATTTATGTAGAATTCGACATTTTCTCTACGAAAGGTCGCGCACTGCATAGGGCAGAGTGTGTGCGAGCGAGAAAGAGAATAAGTAGCAACTTAAAATTAATTTCTTTACTCTGGCTTTAATAATGATCCGATCTGATTCAGTAGCAGTGTGATATCACATGAAAACACGGTCTGGAAACAAACTTTGTTTTCTCTAGCTCTTATAGTCTCTGAGATCTAGGCGTCAAACAGGACGGACGGACGGACAGCACACATGGCTATGTCGATTCGGCTATTGATTCTGATCATTATATAAATACTTTATAAGGTCGGAAACGTTTCCTTTTCTGCGTTACACACATCCACTTTTACTTTTACTTGGAAAGCAAGACGGGAAAACTCAACTGGCTTCTTAAGCCTAACAGCAAGCTCAGCCTGGCCAACAAGATTCGCATATAGAAGGTAATCCTGGCGCCTGCATGGAGGTATGGCTGCGAAAACGAACCTGGACAAGTTCAGGGTGTTTCAGAACAAGACCCTCCGAAATATCTATGGTGCTGCATGGTATGTCCGTAATAGAGACATCGCCAAAGACCTTGGAGTCCCCTCAGTCGGTGACATTATTAACGAACAAGCCACAAGGTACTTGACCAAACTAAGGGTCCACCCGAACATCCTCGCTAGAAGATTGGTAAGGAGCAGATCTAGGCGAATGTTAAACCGCATCCATCCGTCCGACTTGGCCACCAGGAACATATAAATTATTGTTGCACAATCTCCGTTTTCGTTCGTTGGTCCCGCCCGTAACTTAAAATAGTAAACTGTAAATAGAAATTGTCCTTGACCATTAACAAAAGTTGCTAATCAACAGTAACAGTACGTTAAGTAATTGTACTTTATTGTCTGTGATAATTGTTACAAAAAGCCTACATAATAAAAAGAAAAACTACAAATCTAATATACCCCTTTACTCTTTTTGAGAACAAGTATAAAAACCGAAATTTTCGTGTCTGAGACATAATGGTCATAATGGATTATCCTTGTTATCCGTTTCGTCTACAGGAATTAGAGCTACGATTAAAAAGCTGGGATTACCAGAAATAAGAATTTTATACTCAATAGGAAGAATCTGCAAAAATGGTTGTCAGATATTGAAATAGGTCTTATCAATACTGAAATAACTTCCAGTGTAGTTCGAGTACCTGAGTGTAAGCTTATTTATTTGGGCGAGTGTAGAGTCAGCGAGAGGGAGAGAGAGTATGCAACTGTCGGCACCCAACATCCCCTTACCAGGTGGGCACCCATCGGCTCACAGCGCGTACTGTCTAGTTTTCTACACCTTTTGCATGCAAACGCAATTTACATTTAAATTCAATACTAAATTCATATGCCGTGTGTTGTAATGCACACAAAGGACACAAGGAGGTTGCTGTTTCCTCCCCGTTTGTGTGCTCACTCCATCTCCCTCATTGTTTTGCCATTATACTCGCACAAGTTTTGTACAATGGATTTCGTCCTGCGATCAGACTATATGTCTGTTAAGGAGATCCACAGCACAGTATTTGCTTGAATACATCTATCTCTGACCCAGGCTCTACAGGCAATGACGCTGACGCGTACGGACAGTCTGCTAAAAGACTTTCCCAACAAATTTTCTGTCTCAATTTTATAATGAACTGATTTCGAGCCAAATAGTGTAAATCCCATAAAAAGCCATAGGTGTATTAAAATTGAACCCTCTGCAGATGCTCATTGCATCGTGCACGTAGCTGAAGGATGCAAATATGCAAACATCCTTCTCGTGTGGGGCTGCGTTGCGGATGTATACTCGTGCTCATACTAGAATGTACTCGTAGTCTGCCATATGCTTAGTTCATCGGCGACAGGAAGCTGAAGTCTGTACTTAAGCGAGGAAAGTGGGACGGTCTGAAGGGCCGTAACCTGCTCCCTTAAGTTATGAAATTTATGCTAATGATTTTCAGCGAAGGAAACATTCGCTAGCGACGAAGGTGGGATCAAAATAAGCATGTCAAAATAAGCATCGTCACGCGCATCTCGTGGGGCGGAAGAGTGCAACATTTTCAAGTTATTTTTAAGAATAACATATTCAGGGAATAGTTTGTTATTTCGGTTTCGGTTGGCTGCCATAAGAGATTTTTGTTGAACATGATCACTGCGAATGTACGAATGTAGGTGATCTAATGATCCGATTTATCTTGAAACTCATCAGTCTGCTACATTTTATGTCATATACCCAAGAAGAATTTTGGTGCTTATGAAATCATCACAAATAAAAGCTTCAAATGTATTAAAAGTTTCACCTAAAATTCGTACCTATCTTTGATCCTAATTTTGCAATAGTTTAATCGATTTCGGATAGCTTAAAACTAAAAGAAAAATCGCTCATTTGCTTGAAGACTGTCATAACTCTAAAAAAACGATTTGTACATATGTATGTAATTAATATAGAGGAAGATATAAGGATAAATTGAATAACTCTATATAAAAAACAAAATTATGCCAAGTATTTATAAGTATATATACGCTTTTTAAAGGTGTACAGAATAAGGATAGAAACAATCTGTGAATATATATATTTATTCGGGAAATCTGCTCCCTCACCCTTCTTAACTATTCTAGCAATTCAAAAAATTCCAATCACGACCAGGTTCAAATCGATAATATTAAAGACACTATCCACAGGGTGTCTAACGGTTAACTAACCAACTGAATTGCTCTTCCCTCTTCCTTGATACCCCATCATGTTGAACTGCTCTTTCGGAGTGTTGAAATCCGCTCTTATGCCTGAATGCCCACCGGGTCCTTGCGGCCAGTCCTGCCCCGCACATCATTAACAACGTCAACATTTGACTTTGCTGAATGCCTGCTGTGTTCGCCGAAAACGGTGGACGAACTGAAAAACATTAGCCCAGATTTCAGTGCGCATAACGGGTAGCTACTAGACAGCATCCACATTTGTCTCTGTCTGCGGCAGGGAACGAAAACATAGTAGTGATATCAGGCTTTGGCCGTGGGTTATAATGGCACGCTCGTATCTGAGGCACCCTTGTCCACCTAGTCCTGTCCCGGAGTGACTCACAATAACTTGCTAACAAAACTTAAAATGTGTGTAAAATGGGATACCACCCTCAAGAAACAACAAATTCATTGACAAACAGGTCAATGATATGCCAGTCTCCTCAGTCGGGAATAAACGCGCCAGAACCCAAAGCCACTTAACTAAAACCAAACCCAAAATTGTGTGTCCGTGTTTACAGATTTTAATGGTGTTTTTTTTTTGTATTTTACTTAGGCTTTGATTTGTATACCATACCCACTCGTACTTATAGCGATCAAGGGAATATTTTGTATACATACATGTTAGCAGGATTCTGTTTTTTGATCTTAAGGAATGAAAGGTATAAAAAAAGTCGGGAACCTCTATATACCGTACTCAGTTATTACTTTTCGTTATGGGGGCATTTTAATATCACAATGCCATCAGACCATGTCAATTTTGGTACATTTATTTTGCTATAAAAATGGTAAGGCGAAGGCCCCTTGAGTATAGTTTGAGAATAATTTGAATTGTTATGCTTTTTCAAAAATCAGCTTCGACATACATATGTACATATATCGAATGATGATTAGATGAATAGATATCACTACTTGACACGAGTTTTCCTCAAGGAACAAAATCAACTTTATCTTAAAGATTTAAGGCTTAGAAATGGTTTGATGACAATTTTTTTTCTATGGCAGAACTTTTTTTAAAGAATTTTTGAGTTCTGGATATTTTTTTAAGCTTTTTTCAGAGGTAGCGCTTCACGTAACTCTAGTATCTTACGTCTGGTTGTAAGGAATTGGGATCGCGATTAGGTACCAAATGTATAACCCTTTTTCGTTTGCCTTATTCCCAATTGGCAGTTGGGCCCGCAACCTTCAAAAAGGTATTTTTTGTTCATTTTTTTTTTCGTTTTTTATATATATATATTTTTTCGACTTTTCCCGAGTTTTTTAAATTTTTGTAAAAAATACCGCACAAAAATCATTATTTTTGCATTTCAATGCTTTATATTTCCCAGAAGGTAAGCTGAAATCACAAAGTTTTTGGGCTTGACTTCTAGCTGCTTTAATTATCTTTTTAAAATAGAGTAATGTGAAAAAAAAGCGCTAACTCTGAAAAAAGCTTAAAAAAAATACCAGAATTCAAAAATTCTTCAAAAAAAAGTTCTGCCATAGAAAAAAAACCATAATTCTTTAAAAAATTTTGAAGTCCCATATCTATCAGAAAAAGTCGGTTTGGATCCTTGAGGAAAAAAAAATTTGGATACTGTCGAGTAGTGTATCTAGGTGAATTATAGCGGGTTTTATAAACATGATTCAAGTACATTTCACAATCGATTTCACCTTGAAGCCTGCTCATTAACAGTTTGCAATCTGGGACCCAGCTATTGTCCCTCCGAGGAATAAGGCCGGAGCACACGTGCTCCAGGAATGTCCACGCAAAAGCACGCTCGATGGCGCTCCTTTGCTTGAACATTTTGTGGCGTTGTACTGTAACCTCCAAATCAATTGAAGCCCATTGAAATATGCGTTCGCCAAGCGAGTGATTAGACGCACGATGCATATTCCGTTGACTCCCACCTACCCCATCTGTGCGAGAGGTAGAGAACACCTATAACTGGTATTAATCAATTTTGTGCTTGTTCCATTCCGATCCATGCCAAACTGCAGTGACGCCGCCAGATGCCAAAGCGATTATTGCTGGTCCGACGGATTTGTACGTCAAAGTAGGCAGCGTCATAACGCTCACATGTGTGGTAAAACAGCCAACGACATCGGCACAGGATATTGGGCCAATTTACTGGTATCGCGGCCCATACATATTAACTCCGTTTGTTGCCCATCCGAATGAAGCGGCCATTGATTTGCAGCGTATCTCGATGGAATCAACTCTGGCCGAGAAGCTACAGAGCAGGTAAGAAGTACATATGAACATACAAATATATGTACTAGGAAAAATCAGTTCCATCATACTCGAGAATTAGTACAATAAGTCCACCTATAAAGATTTTAAGCGTAGGAATGTTGTGTCTTTCTCCTCCAATCTAAGGCATTCCGAGATACAGGAGGATGAAATGTCACGTAGAGGTGGATGGGCTGCAAGTAGGTGTGCTCGCTTCCAGTTGGGTCATTGCTTGATATTTTGAACATTGATCTGGGAGAGGGAAGCACTTAAGATGTACAGTGGTTTTAAGCTTTGCATTAACCTGACTTTAATTTATTCTAGATTACGCATTGCTAATGCACAACTGCTTGACACCGGCAATTATACGTGCATGCCGACCACAGCGGAGGCGGCCAGTGTGCTGGTCAATGTCATCAATGGTGAGTAGGAAATAAGCGTATGGGCAGATGCGAATTCGATTTGGGTATATGGTATTGCCGTCTTATAAATGCCAAGTTTTCTTTCCCCTCTTTCGCCGATAGATGAAAGCCCAGCGGCGATGCAGAAAAGTAAAGGTGTCCGAGTATCCAGCAGCAGTCGGAGCACTTGTATGGTTCTCCTCATGGCGTTGGTTGCCAGTTTAGTTGTGCGATGGCTTCTCCCCTGCAACTGCTCCAACGCCTACTCGAATTTATCCATTCTGCATATCAACTATATCAACTATTGTATTCCAGTAGTGGACTGGAAGCCGCAAGCGATCAGAGTCAACCGAAAGATTCAGCGGCAACAGCTTCGGGTAGACCATGAGGAAACTTTGTCGGAATCATGATAAGTAATTTAGTATGTGGATATTTAAGTGTATTGTACATAGGACTATTTAAGAGTGACGATTCTTAACTTAAGAATGAATATAAACATACGATCCAGACCATACAGAATAAGGAAACCATTGAGTAGTTTGTGTGAAATATATATTTAATCAACCACTAAAGACTTTAATCAATAAATTACATGCAATAACTTTAATTGATAATGCTGGAAACTTACAAAAACGGCTGCTAAACTGTTCATCGAAAATTTGTATCTTTTTTATATTTTCTATCTGAAAAAAACAAACAAAATAGCTAATACGTTATTATACGTATTTCTGATTTGTATGAATAGCTTTAAATATTATGGAAAAATCGAGTTGATCGAAAGCTGCAACTGAACGCGAAATTTTCAGCGAATGTAAATGAAAACTAAGCTGTGTGAATATAAAAGCAAACTACTGACTTGGCAAAACCACACCAATATTAAATAATGTATATGATTTATGATAGTTAAAAAAAAAAAAAAAATTGTTTTTTTATTGTTTATTAAACAATTCAATTGTTATTATTAGGATATTATTAATTGTAATTCCCTTGCCGACCCTTAAATTAATTGCTATTCACTCTTATTAATCTTAACAGACTATCATAGGAATAAACCAAATAGATTCCAACTGCGATATAAGCGAATAGAAAATAAAAGTGTAGAATTTAATTTAAATTCAAGTTAGATTTTGGGTTTCCATTAGCAATTTAAACAATATGTAACTATGTAATATATGTATATTCAATGTAATATACTTCGTAAGAAACAATAAAAAGAATTTTGTTAAATTGTATTGAGAAACGTTGACTTTATTTCATTATACCCAGTATATTATAAATATTACTCAACCCCTGTTGCTACTTAATATCATAACCATATAAAGTTGTACTTAATAAAGTCCCGCAACCGCCAGATGTATTTGCACACCTTTTTATTTTGGAGTGGGATATTTCTTTTGTTTGATCATTTCGTGTTTCGCTTCAAATCCGCAGTAATTTGCGTGACCCTTATTTAATTTTGCTTAATTCAAACCTCGACAGCACAAGCCATACATAAAAATTTAGTCGAATCAGACGAGGTCGAATTGAGCGGATAACGGACCTCCCTTGCAGCTTCGCCAAATAAAAGCGGCATCGGGGGTTCAGGTTAGGAGTCCAAAGAACTGGTAAGGTTGCGTTGGTCAACAGTAATACTACCTTATTTCGGAACAAGCTGGCGTACAACGCAAATGCGCAGATAAACATCAGATCTTTGTGGTTACGTGGTTACGTGGTTTGTGGATGTGTGTCTCGGGGTGTGGGTGTTTTTTGCACGCATAATCTTACGCTGTTGATTCACTTAAATGAAATCATAATTATCCACACTCGCTTGTCAGCTTCTCTTTTAATTTCATACAAATATTTTACAGACAAACGCAATTTGCCATGATTGATAAATATTTTGCACAATCCCCGCCATCGTTTGTTTGCTCTTAATTTGAAAATAAATTGCTGACAAATGATTATATGAATTTAATCGATTTAAACAAATTTTTTTTGGTTTTCATAGAATACTCAGTAAGTATGTAAAAGAACATTACATGTTTTTAGGTAAGAGGTATTGGCATATGTACATATGTCCGCCTGACTGTTTCTTGACGAATTTCCACTGAACCCTTTAAATATAAATAATTCGAGAACGTAAATATCGGATTCATATGTTATATGAAGATAACTGAATCCTATGAAAGTAGAGGACGTGATCATTTAGATACAGAATGAGGAATGTTATTTCAACGTTATATTTATAGTCCCCGAAACGTGTTTCAATTATTATTTTTTAGATTAGATCGCGGAAAAGTTCCGGGGTCAGAAGATTCAAAGAAAAGTACATCGGACTACCAACTGTGACTACCAAAACGGGAAAACGATTCGCGACAACTGTCTAATGTCAGAAAGAAAGAGAAAGTGCAGAGTGCAGTATTTTACCACATTGGATTTAACAAATATGTTTGTCCATTGCATGTAGAAGTGGAGTCTCTCGGCTCGATTTCTTATATGTACCATTTGGAATTTAAGAATTCCCAGCGATCCTTACCAGATTTATAATCAGAGGTAGTGGAGAATAATATAAATAAAGACTTTAAATATTAAATTTACCGTTGCCGTGGAGCAAATGCACTCATGCGGAATTTCCGGGGCTACATTTTTGCGAAAATATTCTAAAAAAGTATGGCCTTGTATCGAATTTCATTAATTGCAGAACTTCTCAGCTATTTTGAAGAAGGAAAAAATTGCAGATCATTCCGTGTGCCGCTGCAATTAAAATCTGAAAACTGTTTCAATTCAAATTTATTTTCTTCTTTTTGCTTAATTTTATACTTTTGGCGTGATTTTTTGTTTGTTTCTGCCATTGTTCCTGTCAAAATAAGTAAACTTTCAGGCCAACTCGGTTAAATAGATTGAATCATTAGCGGAAAGCGGAAAAGTTTCCCTGCTCGACCTGCACTCAGGCGGTTTTACATTATTCTTCTCCTGCCGTTTCTGTTTGTTCGCCGGAAAAGCAATGCAGGGCCACAATAAACGAGGTAGGAGCAACAAATAAATACAACACGTCACCTGTCTGCAGGACAGGGAAAATAGGTCGAGCTCGGGACTCTTGCTTTCTCATCATAGCCAAACATTTATGCAGTTCCAAAAGCCAGCAGTCGGGACGGGCGGGTTGTTTGTCCTTGTTTTATGTGCGGGCGTTCAGAAGTTTAATTGTTTTCTGTTTTATGCGAAACTAAATTTAATATTGTAATTTTGGCAGAAAGAATTCAAAAGGGGCAAATGGCAGCTAGGAAAAGTTTTATCGTTTTAAAGTTCTCTGAGTAATTTCACGGCGAAAGTTAATTAAACACCGCAAGCAAATGGATGAAGGCAGTGAAAGTTGCCAAGTTGTATATGCATGTAAATACTTTTATTTGTGAGACGCAGCCTACTCTGCTGCTTAGTTACTAATTCATAATAATTGCATTTATGTACATATGTGTATAGTACAGTGTAAGACCCCCGACATTATTAGGCTTCATCGTGACATCATGTATTGAAAATTAGTGCTTGCTGATGGAAAACTGTTTATTATCTGAGGGGCAAATGCGGTTTTTAGCAGAGCATTTTCAGTAAAGCCTTCTCTAGGCAAAATTTATAAAAAGTTATCAAAAATTTAAGCTGATAAGTTTGCATAAAATACCAGTTGCTATAATGCTTTAATATAATGATCAAATAGCATACCACAATCGCTCGTATCCATTAACTAATATAGTGTCTGCTGACACACTGTTAAGTAGGCATGTACATTGTACATATGTATGTATGTATATAAATAAAGGAAAAAACCACTGGCGCTGGTACACCGCAAATGTTGTGGGCTTTCCAGTAACTAGTTCCTTCTCTTCCTTGGGCTGACTACGAAAAAAAATGCAAAACCGTGTACATTTTAATCTAATCTGCGTCAAAGGAAATAAATGTGTCCCATTTGAAAAATGGGTGCGACCAGCCATTGGCTGTTGATGTCTTTCTATATATTTAGCATGTTTTTGTTGGTTTGTTCTTAACTGTTACCACTAATTAAGTGCTTACACGGAAGATTTCAAAGCAAAAAGGCCACAAGGACACGATGCCAAAATGTCCATGGCACACAATGTAAACGAATTTCAAAACGGATGCGGATTCAGCTGGCAGCCGCAAGAATCTGGTCCAAAGTCCAAGATTCAGGATTGCCTAGGAAAAAGTGTTGGCGTTTAATTATAAATTTACACGTTTATCCGAAAAAAAGAGCGAGTGATGTTAAATAGGATAAACTTTGTCAGCAACAAAGCCGTACCGAGGTTCAATCTAGTGTTGAAAATTTAATTTCCATTGTTAACCGCATATAGGCGGTTACATATGTATATGTATGTATGTACATTACGTCATTATGACCGATATAATAAAGTGATGCGATAGATACGAAGGTTATGAAGATCAATAACAGACTGAATAGGGCATTCGGGCCGAATCGCACGTGCCCTAATGCAAGCGAGTGAGAGAACACAAGAAGCGATAGAAGCTCGGGCTGCTGCTGAGCCGAGTAGCGATAGATAGAGAGAAAGAATGCGAGAGAACAGCATAGATGAAGAAACGATAGCGAAGGCAAAAGAAAGCTGAAGCGAGATGCATACATATATAGAGTTCCGCTGGCGTCCTCTTGGATGCATCTTCCAGCGATGCCAGTACCGGGCTTGCCCTTGAGAGGGCCGGGCATTGGCAGATTAGATGTTCCAGGGTTTCGATAGCCCCAGATTCATCACATTTCCTGCACTTGCCGCTGCTGGTGATGCCTAGTTTGACTGCATGTGCTGCAGCCAGGCAATGACCTGTGAGTATACCCATTAGCATCTTACAGTCCTTCCGTGGTAGGTGCAGTAGGTAGTGGCTGAGTTTACCATTGCTCTCCTTGCACATGGTTTTCGCGATCTTGCAGTTGGTGGTTCTCCTCCACCTGCTACTGGCCTGTATGTGTGCCCGCCTCTCTAGATCGCTTTGAAACGTTCTGAGGGAAACAGACATGTTCTCAGTCCAGTCGTTCGCCAGCCCGACGCCATCCTTAGCCAGCACATCTGCTGTCTCGTTGCCTTCGATGCTCTGGTGGCTGGGAACCCAATATATCCGCACTGACTTTGTCGTCCTTATGAAATCTAATGCCTCGCTGCTTGCCAGGACATTTTTGGAACTGACTGCTGACGACTGCATGGATCTTATCGCCGCCTGGCTGTCCACGAACAGGTTGACCACCGTACATCGAGCAACCTCCGCCGCTTTCTGCCTGGAATATGCTGCATTGGTCCGGTAGCTTATAGGACAGCCTTATTTCAGGGTCTGTACAGTATATGCCCGCACCTACTCCTCCCTCCATCTTGGAGCCATCCGTGTATATGTTTAGGTGTTCATTCTGGTCCCAACATTCTTTCCAGTCGTCGGGTCCCATGTGTATCGCTGTTTTGACGTCCAGGCAAGTTCGGGGGATCATGCAGTCAGATATACTGGTCGTGTCTCGGCCTATTGAACTGTGCCCGAATCCTTTCAGCGACATATTGCCTGATGCGACTAGGCGTTGTGCTGCCTTACCTGCAGTCAGTTAAGCGTGGATGTCCAGGGGGTCGATTCCGAGTATTGTTTCGAGTGCTTTTGTTGGGGTTGACCTCAGCGCCCCTGTGATGCAGAGCAGTGCCTGCCGCTGAGTTCTATCCATTAGCTTGTTGTAGGTTTTCTTTTCTGTAGCCTGCCACCACACTAAGACTCCATACAGCAGAGTCGGTCGCACTACCGAAATGTAGATCCAGTGCATTAGTGCAGGTGATAGGCCCCATGTGCTGCTAAGCATCTTTTTGGATGCATATAGCGCAATGGTGGCCTTCTTCACCCTTTCCAATACATTGGGTCTCCATGTCAGCTTGCTGTCCAGTACTATGCCGAGGTATTTGACTTGTGTTTTTGGGGTAAGCCTGGTTCTTGTACCTTGTACCTCTTGGTGAAGAGGATGAGGTCCGTCTTGTCCGCGTTGATACTGAGTCCTACTTTTCCCGCCCACTCACATATCTCCCTGAGTGTTGATTCCATTATAGAGCTGAGGCTCGATGGGCATACTCCCGTAATAATTATGCTTAAGCTGTTATTTTTGGGGCTCTCCTCTCGAATCTCTTTATTAGGTCGTCGACCACCAGATTCCATAGGAGGGGCGACAGGACCCCACCCTGAGGTGTGCCTCTCTTTGCCCCTTTCACCATGGAAGAGGTGCCCCACTCTGAGTACACCCGTCTACAACTTAGAAGGTTCTTTATCCAGAGTTGATTGCGGGATGTGTATTGATCGCTTCTAGGCGGTCCATTATCGCGCTCGTATTCACGTTGTTGAATGCTCCGGATATGTCTACGAACACTCCTAGAGCATACTTCTTATTTTGGAGGGCATTTTCGATGGTGGCGACTAGCGAATGCAGTGCCGTCTCTACCGATTTCCCTTTGGTATAGGCATGCTGGTTGGTTGACATCCGCCCACCTACATCGTTTCTGATGTGTTGATCCAGCAGCTTTTCTAGTGTTTTGAGTAGAAAACAGGTGAGGCTTATCGGTCTATAGTCATTGGGGCTCATATGGCTGCACTTTCCTGCCTTTGGAAGGAAGACAATCCCCAAGGTCCTCCATTGAATAGGGATATAGCCCGTGCTCAGGCAAGCTGAGTATATTGCAGAGAGCCATGAGGTGATCACGTCTTTGGTCGCCTGTAGCATGGCTGGAAATATACCGTCTCGTCCAGGTGCTTTTGTACCCGCAAAGGAGTCTATAGCCCAGTGGATTCTCTTAGACGATATGAGATCTGTTGGAGGGTGCTGTTCCTCAGTTGCTAGGTCCTGATGCTCTGTAGCGTCAGCGACCTTGGTGCATCCTGGGAAGTGAGCTTCCATTAGTGCTGTTAGGGCTTCTTCGCTGCCCTCAGTCCACTGCCCATCATTTCGTTTCAGCTCACTCTGTATGGCGGGTTGCTTTGATAGCAACTTCCGGAGTCTGGCCGTTTCTGGAACTTTCTCGATATTGGAGCAGAAGTTCCTCCACGAGTTTCTTTGTGCCTTGCGTATTTCCTTCTTGTACTCCCTGAGTAGGGTTTTGTATTCCTCATTGATTATCTCGTCGTTCGCCAGTTTGGCGATTTTGAAGAATTCTTTGAGGGTATTTCTTTGAAGCGATAAGTCGCGGTTTCCACCAGATAGGTCTGGTTCTCTTTTTCGTTCTCGAGGGTGGGCATGCTGCGTGGTACGCATCCAGTAGCTCCTTGGAGAGGGTCTCTAGGGACGTTTCTATTTCTTCCGGGGATTTCACTGTGCCCGGACGAGTCGCGAGCTATAGACAGTTATCTTCGGAGTGTTTAAATTCGCACTTAAACTGAATGTACTTGTGTACTTGTGAATGTGCTTGTACTTGAGAGAACAAGGACTTTCAAGGACTCTCCAGCCAGATACCAAAGTACTGTTCCCCGTTACAAGTGTTAGATCTAGTACGTTTGACGAGGTGGGGCCTACGAAGGTGTGCTCCTCCCCCACGTTTGCTACATCTAGATTAGTGGAAAGTATAAAGTCTAGAAGTGACTCACCTCTTTCGTTGATATCGGGGCTTCCCCACACGCTATGGTGGGCATTGGCGTCCGTACCAACTAGAAGTTGCTGGTCTTTCGGACTGGCTTCCGCCACCAGACTCCTTGGCTCCTCCGGTGGAGCTGGCCTGTCGTGTGCCATGTAGCAGGATGCTACCATAAGGCGCTTGTCCTCGCTTTCAAGGATCACCGCAGCCGGGTCATCAGTGCTGTAATGAGACATAAGATAAGCATGGATGCCCTTTCGTACGAGTACGGCCGTTCTGGTCCGGCTTACCGATGGTTGGTGGAAAAGATTGTAATTAGAGGACTTTAGTCCGGCCACAGCATTGCCGGAGGCAAGCCATGGCTCCTGGACCAAAGTTATGTCGACGGGCCCTTGCTCCAAGGCAATGAGGAGCTCCGCCGACGCGACTTTGCTTTTATGCAAGTTGAGCTGCAGCACTCTCAAAGTCATGGGAGGCTGGCTCAAATGCACCCGACGGGTTGACTATTATAGTCAGGTCACCGTCCTCGTCCTCTGCGGCATCAGAGTCGTCCAGCGCAAGATCCTGGGCGGCCTCCACGATGGACTCCAGACCTACGTCCTTCTCCATCTCGCCTGCCTGCAGAGTGTGCGCGTCCTTGTCTTCGGGGCGGCGCTTTTTGAGACGTAGGTAGACACTGCCTACGCCCCATGCCATCTTCCCGAATCTAGGGTAGAGGATGTCCTTATTGATCTAGGGGATCATTTGCTGACCCCCCTCATTGGGTAATGGGCTACCAGCATACAAGATTTTCCAGTCAGCCGTTGGCACCTCTGTATTCTGCCTCTGGAGGAGTTTCAGTGCTCGGTCCCCCTGGACTGCAATGGGTAAGTGCACCTTCGCCTTTTAGAAGGGAGGGATCATCTCCCTGTCCACTACCTCCAGCTTGGCCCCCTCCCACTGAGCTTCCAATTTGGGCACCACTTGCACCTGCCACTTCCTCGTCGGGTCATCATTACATTTGAGGATCTTCACCCCGTTCAGCCATCCCGCACCGTCGAAGGTGGGCATGGGAGCGTCCGGCGCGTCCTCCATTCGCGCGAAAAGGGATTCTACCAGCTGGGAGTGGACCTGTTTCCACTGCGCCGCCGTCATCTTCCCATTTTCGTCGCTGCGGTCGATCAGGGCCACGATGAGGTGTCTCTTGGACACGTCGCTCAACTTGGCCTTCTGCTTGGGCTTCTTCGTCTTCGTAGGTTGAGGGATAACCACACTTGGCCCGCGTTGCCGCTTGCCCGCCGGAGTGTCCTTGGCACTTGGATCGATCGAGCGTTGCCTTTGGTGGCCATCATCTCCTCAACGCTATTGGCGAATTCGCCCTTCGTCGCCTTCATCTGAGGCAGCTGCGCGTAGTAAAGACGCCCCTCTTCTACCTTTTGCTCAGCCCAGGCTAGTTTGGACTTCTCCTCTTGGGAGATGTCCTCTTTTCCTTGTAGCCGGCTTCGGATTTTGAGGGCCGCCTTGTATTGGGCCTTAGCCTTCATCCCCTCTCTAGAACGCTTCGGCCCTTCCCTACGCAGGGAGCTGGTACCTGGTTCAGGCGAGCGGAGAAGGCTCTTTTCTTCCGTTCTGCTTACGCTGAGCACGCTCTCCAGGTTCGAGTCTGTTTCGACCACGGCACCCGTGCGGCTCAGCTTGCAGTGAGGCGTTTTGATGGCAGTAGCTTTGAAACTAATATGACCTGCTCCCGCCATATTAGAGTTGTGACCGCTGGCGACACGCAGAGAGGATTGCTCCTCCCCGTGCCTGCCAGTGGTAGCAGTCACGCTTTTCACCGACGTTTGGACTGACATCCCAGTCCCTGTTCGATCCTTATTCCGCTCCATGTGGTTAATATTTATCGGGGGGACCACCCCCTAGCATTTTATGCCTGACCGCCAGGCACCTCCAGCCATGGCCATGGTTCAGTTCCCCCAATTTTATATCGGGAAGACCTGGACCTGGCCTTAGCTAGACACTGCATTACCTCGGACAGAGCAAGCGGCAATGCATTACCCGATCCGGGATAATACAGTGCCCATTGCCCGGCCGGCACCCTCTGGGAGGGTTTAGCTGGAGGATTTTCGCCTAGCCTAGGCAAAGGGATATACAAATGTATATATATTCATATAAATCATTGCCCGGGCAATATGAGCATATTCTCATGCTTTGCTACGCACCTTTACAAATAAATTTGCTAAAGCAGCATGGATATGGACCGAACAAAGCAAGATAAAATATTCACTTAAGTAAACCATTTTGTTGTCAATACATCCGTATTATGTTACATGCTCAATTTTTCATCCAACACAATATTATTTATTGATTTAATTTATACATATATATATAAATTAATCCCTATTTCCCTTGGTCACGGCATCACGCGTGAACGGCTAAAACGATTTCGCTAGTTATTTTTTTGTTGTCAGGAGAAGTTTCTTATGAAAGAAAAAACTAAAGATCGGATCGGTAACACTACTCGACAAAATTGAACTTGTGAACCAAAATGACTTTTTCTGATAGATTTCGGGACTTAAAAATTTAAAGAATTTTTTAAAAATCTTGTATTGTTTTAATGTTTTTTTTCAGAGGTAGTGCTTTTATTTTTTACATAACTTAAGTATCTTATATCTGGTCGCTTAGAACTTTGCAGTTCTGCAAACCTGAAAAATGCAGCTATAAATCCGACAAAGACACTTTGTATTAAGCTTTCAAATTCAAATTTCATAATTTTTTGCGGTATTTTTTTTTACGAAATTTCGACTTTAAAAACTCGGGCAAAGTCGAAAACAAAAATAATTCTTGGCCAACAGTTTTAGTTTTAGATAGACGCATTAACTAGGCATCGTTTAAGGTATTGCTTATTATAATAATTCGTTAAAAATTTGTAAACCCCGAAATCTATAAGAAAATGTCATTTTGGGCCACAGCCTAATTCTTGTGTTGACTAGTGTAATCATTATGTTGCGGAATATAAACCAGCCACGTCTTTGTGAAGAAATTAATGAACAACATCACCGAAGACCCAATTTTGAAAGGGAAGTATACAGACGAAGACGTTTTGATTCCACGGATTCCTTTGATATCGAACGACATGCCATTCGACTTTAAACGGTTATAATTTCCAGTGCGGCTAGCATTTTCAATGTCGCCAATTGTTTGTGGCATTAATCTTGAAAATCCATGCTGGCCAGTTATATATCGCCTGTTCCCGTGTCGGAATACCAACAAAACTATTTATATACGCGCCAGAAAAAAAACAAAGAATGTTGTGTATCATAAAGCATTAGAATAATAAACACTTTCTTTTTGAAATATTTTTTTAGTTAATTATACCAATTCGAAATCAATATTCATATTTAAGACAGGACAACGTCTGTCGGGTCCGCTAGCTAGCTACTCGACAAAATCGAACTTTTTTTTTCCTCAAGGATCCAAACCGACTTTTTCTGATAGATATGGGGATTTACAATTTTTTAAAGAATTATGGTTTTTTTTCTATGGCAGAAATTTTTTTTGAAGAATTTTTGAAGTCTGGTATTTTTTTTTTAAGCTTTTTTTAGAGGTAGCGCTTGTTGTTTTCACATAGCTCTAGTAACTTACGTCTGGTTGTAAAAAACTTTGCTATTTTGAAAAGATAATTAAAACAGCTAGAAGTTAAGCCCAAATACTTTGTGATTTCAGCTTACCGTCTGGGAAATATAAAGCATTGAAATGCAAAAATGATGATTTTTGTGCGGTATTTTTTACGAAATTTTGATTTTAAAAACCCAGGAAAAGTCGAAAAAAAATTATATCTTGTGTCCTCTATTTTTTTGTGTATAGGTGCGTTAATTTGGCGAAGTTTAAGGTATCGCTCATTAAAATCTATGGAGAGACTTTGGAGCTAAAATTCGTTAACCAAACCTAAAATATGAAAAAAATGAACAAAAAATACCTTTTGGAAGGTTGCGAGCCCAACTGCCCATTGGGAACAAAGGAACGCGATCAGGTACCAAATGTACAACCCTTGTTATAAGATATAATTTTTTTTCGACTTTTCCTGGGTTTTTAAAGTCAAAATTTCGTAAAAAATACCGCACAAAAATCATCATTTTTGCATGAAAAAAACAAGCGCTACCTCTGAAAAAAGCTTAAAAAAAAAATACCAGTTTTCAAAAATTCTTCAAAAAAAAGTTCTGCCATAGAAAAAAAAAATATATCATCAAACCATTTCTAAGCCCCAAATCTTTAAGAAAAAGTTTGTTTTGTTCCTTGAGGAAAAATCGTGTTGACTAGTGTAGTGTACAGTAAATATATACCTATTTAGATGTAGGTATATTCATGAAGCAATGTTTAACACATTTTCCTCAAGCATTCCTTAAAGCATAAATTAACTTATGTAAAATGTCGTTGCTTCAATCCTTTAAGTGATTATTAAATTTACTAGGTATGCATTGTTCGTCTGGTATATGTTTGTGCAGGTACAGTCAATTTTATGCATGGGGCTTATAAAGTCAAGTTCATCTGTAAAAATACAGATCAAGCTATCCAAACCGGGGTTCCTGGGTTAAACTTGCATTTTAAAATGGACCAGCCAAACTCATTTTTGTCAGGTTGACTACATTGACGACGCACTGCTCGATACTATCTATATACATATTTGTGTGGGGAATCAACAACCCTTAGCCTATACAACGCTCCGACGACATGATTTGTATACCCGTACTCAAAAATAGTTAAGGGCTATATTGTATGTATGGTAAAATTGGATGTGTGTAACGCAGAGAAGGAATCGTTTCCGACCCCATAAGGTATATTCTTGATCAGCATCAACAGCCGAGTCGATATAGCCATGTCCGTCTGTCCGTCCGTCTGTGGCAGCCACAATTTTAAAGATACCTGAAAAGTAAAAGCGTAGTATCGTAGAGAATAACCATATCTACCAGATGGTCGTATCTGAATCAGATCGATTCATTATTATAGCCAGAATAAAGGAATTGATTTTCAGTTGCTTCCCCCACCTCCTCCAGCAAGAGACCTCGCTACTCATTCTCTTTCTCGCTCGCACACACTTTGCCCTGTTCAACGCGTGTATGTAGAATCTACATTTCAGATGTAGACTAGCAAAAAATTTAAAATTAAAATATTTTAAAATTTTACATAAATCATAAGGTCACAAATTTACATACTGACTGAGTACGGGACCCGTACTACGGCTATAAAAGTAGAGTCGCGTCCAAAGAAGCGAATCACGTTCCTTCTCGTTTTTTTTTAGATTGTTCCATTTTGGCCAATGATTTCCGCTACCGAACCGTTATTTGATCTTCCCGCCAGAAGTATAAGCATTGCCGGCTCCAACCACTTTATTTTTTTTGTTACACACCTTTGAAAAAATATCTGCTAGCGAAGCCGCCGAGGGCTTATGATAGTTTATAAGTTATACTCCAAGTATTTAGGGCCAATAAAGGAAAATATTTGGCTGCCATCGATATGAAGGCCTGAGCGTATTGTCTAACTTTAAATCAGGTATGATTTTACTATTTATTGGCATTCGTTTAATAAAAATATCAAGAAAGTCCAAGGGGTCACAGACGAAAGGTCCCATCCCAGTCGGCTTAACACGTATAGTTCCCATTTAATTAAATCATCCTTGTATATGCTGTTGTCCGTATAAACGACCAGTAATTCCACTGAAAGTGCGAGTAGTTTTGAAGCAAGTAAAGTACTGATAAAATTTAAAGGTGGGTCTTGCGTACTGATTTAGTTGAAAGAAAGCGATCCATGTAATTCAAAGCCAGTAATACGACTTCCTCCTGGTATTTATCTCTGGCACATACTTTCATCATTATCCACTCAGCAAAAATTTTACGCTGAGTTATATCTCTTTGAACAGACGTAAAGTATGTCTCGACTACATGTTGGTGCTTTTCCTAAGCTTTCAACTCATTCTCCAGACATCGAACAGATTTAAAAGTAGGATCACCAACAGCCGTATTGATATAATCTGTGCCGAGAGAATTGGATTTAGTCTGCCACTTTTGAAGTCAAAAAAAGCGGGCTCCTAGCTGCAGCTTCGAGTAAGCCTTTCAATAGACGCCATCATACCCTGTACTTGAAGTTGGAGTGATTGATGATTCTACTGCGGCATATATATAAACAATCTCACTCCTTTAGCATACGACGGAATTAGTGGAGATGTTGGATAGACTTGAAGCTTCAATTGTGTTTGCATCGTTACTAGCACTAGTAGAAGTTATATAAGAGCCTATCGAAGCGAGATCAGTAACGATTATGAGCACAGCAAGCGTTTGTTGCTTGTTAATGCGATACAATGACAAATATGAATAACATACAAGACTTTCCGAACACAATTGATCCATTTTTTTTTGCATTTAGAACGACCACTTATTGTTTAGTTAGATTTTATTTATCATTCAACTACTCACCTACGTGTAGGTTTCATATGAGCTCCGTTTATATTTATGCATGACGAATGAGGTCTGATCTAAACAACCTTACAATG